TAGCTCTTCTCTTTCCCACCTCACCTTTCTGTCCCCAAATCCTGTTTCTCCCATGTATTGGATAAATATTTTAAAGTATGCTGTTCATACGTTGTCCCGTATCTTGATTAATAAATGGAATGCTTTCTGTATCAGAGACAAAGGTTGATATTAATATTAAAATACAGCATTATATTGTCTTCTGGGTATCTTGAAGTCAACAAGTTTATATAGAATGGACTTGTTGAGAAATGCTAAGGTACATCCCTTTCTTTAAACAGAAGTAAATGGCAGATGTTTGTATATTTTTATATAAACATTTCCATACATAGAATGATAGAATGGTTTCTTCTATTCTAAAACCTTACTGTTGTTTTAAATACGCTTATTTTAAAGCTGGGTGAAAAAGTGTGGTCAGTCGTCATTGTCAGTGTTATTCACTGGAGGACTAGGGGGTGTCAATGACATATTTTTATTTGTCTGTACTTCTTAAGGTTCACCATAATATTTACTTCCATAGATACTCGGTGCTTGTCTTGTTAAGGAGCTCCAAGTTCAATGTGTCCATGTTTGTGCTTTTACAATTTAAACTTTATCAGGCTGTATAAAAGAAGGGATGAGTGGAAATTGTCGACCATCTGAAGTCTCCTGCAGGATTATTGAATTTTAGTTGCTTTTAGTGGAATCAGACTAAGATTTACACTCAGCCTTGCACGTCCCCAAGGGGACTGTCACTGTATGGATATAGTGTTATTTCCATTTCCAACATTTTTATTGTGCTTCCTCGGGTAAATCCTACTTAGGGCAATCTGAAGAATTAGTAATTTAATATCCCAAACCACACTGTGCTATTTTAGGGTTCAATTTTGGAGTATTCTTATCTGGAATAATTGTGGGCTGCCACTAAAAGGTTGCCATGTGTTGAAATGTGCTTCGGGAAGGTATTTTCAAGGAAAAGCACAATAGTTGATGTGTGAGAGGAAATTGAAGTGGATTCTTCCCCTGCTGACAGTTGACAGCGTTCTGGCAAGTTGACAGTTAATGGGACAAATGTATTATTAGTTTCCTCATTAATAATAGAAATCTGGGATCTGCATCCTGCCTTTCTTTCCCATATGTGCTTCTGCAGAATCGCTCGAAAATGGAACAAAATGTCAAATTTCAGGCAGGCGAGTTTATCTGATATAACTTAATCACGTTTTAATGAAAAACGTCGCAGGCGGACATTGTGTAAAAATCTTGAAAGTCTGACAGCTGCTGAATTTAGACTTGGTTTAATATTTAAGGACTAAGGCTTTGGGTTGGATCTTTGAAGCTCGACTTCATAAAACTAAGTCACCAGTAAATTAGCAGATAGGAAAAAAAAAAATAATGAAGTCTTTGGCTTTCTTCTGGGAGCTGCGTCTATGGAGCTGGGCAATACCAGGCACTTCTGGGGGTGTTTTTGTGAAAGGTGAAGAGACAGGGAGCACAACAGCTTCTGAGCTGAGAGGGGGCAAAGCACTGAGTGGGAATAAAGTTGCTTATAAAATGAGAAACTCACCGTTTCCGTGAGCTGATGGACAAAACTGTGCAGAAGCTGTAGGGGCTCTGAGGCGAGGTGTGCACAGGAGGTGGCTGGTGGGGCTGGTTCAGGCCAAGGAAGCTGTAACAGCCAGAGAAGCTGTGGCTGCCCCATCCCTGGAGGTGTCCAAGACCAGGCTGGATGGGGCTTGGAGCAACCTGGTCTGGTGGGAGGTGTCCCTGCCCAGGGCAGGGGGGTGGAACTCGGTGACCTTTAAGGTCCCTTCCAACCCAAACCATTCTATGATTCTATGAAATGCATTTAAAACTAAGAGATAGACTATACCTCTCGCTGACGCAGTAGAGGTTGATCATTTTTCATGAACAGCACATGGAGCTGAAGAAAAAGGAATGGTAATTTAGATACAAGTAGAGATACTCCTCATTCCTCGCTCCAGGATGCCTCTCCCGCCTTCCTCATTTATCTGCTCTTCTCTCTTGCTATCACTGTTTAATTGGTATCATTTTTCTATCCTATCACTTGGTCTTGGATGCTTTGAATTCTTTCTGTGCTTCAGCCATTATTAGAACCCTACACTTCAATCTCATGTGAAGACCTCACGGATAATGGGGAAGGAAGCAGCTCCTGTGATTCTGGTTGCATGTGCTCAAGCATATGTTCAGTTACATGAAGATTTTTCAGGCTTGTTTTTAAGTCAGTTGGGCAACAGCCCAGTGTCTGTGTTGAGATAACCTGTTTGTATCCTCATCCTTCTCCTGTTTTGAGCTGTGCTGGCTGTCAATACTCTGAGTAACAGTAAACAAGAATATCCTAATCCAAAGTAGACTTTTTTTTTTTTTCTGGTGCACATTGGGATACAAGACTGTACATATATTAGTTTGTAAAAGATAAATTATTAGATTTGGAGTGGAGCTCCCGGGCTGCTCTGTGCAAATGTATGTTGAGGTACAAAACCTTACCAGTTGTATGTGACTATTTGTATTTCTTTTGTGTTTTGTCTGCTTTTACTTGTGCTTTGCACTTTGACTTGGAGTTTCTCAGAAGTTCTTTAATTTATTTTTTTTTCAGAAAGCAGTCCTTTCCCTGAAATAGCGCAGAAGTTTGGCTTTGCTGTATGTAAGAGCGGGGCTGTTCTTATTTACTTGCCGCCTCCTGCAACTAGTTCCTGCAAAAGCAATCTCTGCACTGCAAAACCTCTCTCCCCAGCCTTAGTCTTCACTCATTTCCTAGCACTTGGAAGTATTGCCAAATAGTGGTGTGGGTCAAGGTCAAGGCCAAGGTAGCGGTGGGGTGTTTGGGGCATGGTGTGGGCCAGATACCCACTGCTGCTAGAGGAACATCTCTGAGAAGGAGTAACTTAACAAGTCCTGACTTAGGGGGAGGCATTCACCAACACTTCCTTCTGATTTATTTTGTAAAGAGTTAAATAGATACACCAACAACTAGAAGATTGAGGTGTCTAAAGCCTTAATAGAAAAATACAGTGTGTTTTATGCTGTTAAAAATTATTGAAATGCAATATATGGCGTGTTTTTTAACAACGTAATAAAGAGTCTGGTGGCAGGGAAAGCCTTTTAAACCATAATCTGGTAGTCCTTGTATAGAATGTTATGGTTCTTTCCATTTTATTGCTTTATTCTTTCTAAATGAGTTTTTTCTTTTTTTTTTTTTTTTTTTTTTTTCTATGTCTCATGACTGACATCAGTTGGGGATTTTTTCAACAGGGTAGAGGCACATTTAATTATATCTGACTGTCACTGAATCATGTCCCTGAAACACTTAGCTCATTCTTTTTTAAGTAACCAATTATAATTAAACCAGTGGTGACTTGGGTGACTGCAAAGCTAATGTATTCAGAAAGGACTAAAAGCTTTATTATGGAAAGATTACACACAGAATTCTTTTTTTACCTGAGTAAAAATAAGCAATAATTTCTTTTATATGCTGCTATATACTAAAATACTATTATGAATTACAAAATGGTTAGGAACTGCAAGTTTCCCAGTATATATTACTAAGCACATTTTACAGTATTGAACATTTAACTAGTGACAAAGCTTTAAGGCAATAAAATTTGCTTGGTAATAATACCACATATGGTATATATGTAAAATCTGTTAATATAAAGGAATTCTTTTCTAAGAGAATACAGTCTCTCAAGATCTTTTCTTAAGCTATACTTGCTTTCTTTCACCCTTTTGATCCTCTGAGGCTTATCACATTGAGAGAAAATTCAATTAAACACTTGGCTTTGGCTATTCAAAATACTGACCTTTAAGTGGGGAGGTGTTATCGTTCATCTGAAAACTGTGGATGGAGAGGAGGAGTCCTTCCTGCTTTTGTTTCCAAGGAATTATCCAAAGTGAAGTATTAAACTTTCATTATCTTGATGCTGATACCAAACAGCAGAGCTCTGTCCAATGAGCTGTTCCAGCTAATCCTACATTGTTCAATGTCACTACATCTTAATGCAGTTTTAGTGGATAGACTCGGGTTTTTGACAGTATTTTTGAAAAGGGGCTTGTTAAATAGACATTTCTTTTGGGATTAATACCAATTAAGGTAGTGTATTTTTACTTTATAATATACCAAATAGTTAAAAATGTGTCCTTTCTAGAACTTTTTTTAGAGTACTTTTTATTGCACCGGTGTAGCTGAAATGACTGCAGGTTAGCCAGCCAAAAGTGCAATTTGGGAAGTTTACAGATTCTTAAAAGAATTTGACTTGTACATTTCTCATTATCTGGGGAGGCCACATTTGCACTGTTTGCATTTCCAAAGCTTGTTCAAAATTTAACAAATGCATAGTGTCGTGGAATATGGAAGCTGAGAGTAACATGGGAAAATGTTCCTTAAATTAGTAATGAAGGGAGACAACGTGCTGTTGCTCTTGAAGAAGTTTCTTCTTCTGGTCAAACAGGAATTTGTGCTACTAAACATCTATTGCAGCTACACCCAAACCCTGTGTAAAGAGAAAATTAAAAGTGCACAGTTAACATCAAAGGAACAGGAAATGACACAGTAAAAGTCACCGTGCTGTTTTATTTTTTTCTCCTGTGGACACATGCACTGAGATACTGCCTTTGGTTTTTTTAATATGAGGGGGTTTTGGTGGAATAAACATCCTTTTTTGTTACTCTTCTTCTCTCTTATCATTACTTTTATTCATAAGAGCTTCTGGCCTAGTCTCTTATCATTACTTTTATTCATAAGAGCTCGTGTGGGAGAACTCTGACAAGGCCAGTTTTCCTTTTCTGGCCTATTGACTGTGTGTGTTTCCATATCAGTGACAGATATTCCTGAAATATTCCAGAATTCTGAAAACATCTCAGACACATGGTATCTCACTCCTGCAGACATCAAAAATAACATCCTTTTGCATGTGGGACTTATTTGGGAAGTGTCTTCTGCATATTATAAAGAATTTTGCTGTTTGTCAGATTACATATGGTTGTGAAGTCTTAAGTGTTTCAAATGTTATTTCTTTACAGGCCAGAAGTGAAATTTGGATGAAGTGACCTACCCAAGTGGCCGCCATGAGCAGAAGCAAGCGTGACAACAACTTCTACAGCGTTGAGATCGGAGACTCGACTTTCACCGTATTGAAACGGTATCAAAACTTAAAGCCCATAGGATCAGGAGCACAAGGGATAGTATGGTAAGGTTCCTTTAACATTTGGATGTACTTTTAGGTTCCCTTAATAGAATTTGTGGAATCCTTTAATTGTTGTTTGCTACTGAGAAGGAGTGTGGAGAACTACCTTTTCTGTGCAAAGCGACAAGAGTAATTATTGGCTGTTTTTCCCCAGCAAGGACCATTACTGCTGGTTTTTGTCCCATGTCCATTCCTGCTTCCCAACCAATGCCCTTCTGGGCACATTCAGCCGAGTCCCATCAATTAACTGGGAGGAGAACCTGGAAAAAGAAACCAATCTGGTCCTGAGCCACACTGCTCACAGTGAAACAAACGCCAGGAATACTCTACATAACATTTGCTGCTTGTAAATGCTTGAAACGGTTTGTCAGGGGCCTCTTTCCCTTAGTTTCATCATCTAAGTAGTCCCTGACCCTGGTTAGTGAGCGTTTGTGATGCTGACTGTCACTGTAATGCATAAATACCTGATGCAGTTTAGGAAAATAGGACCTGACAGTATCATTCTTTGAATAAAAAAATGTGCTGTGTGGACTGAAGAGTGTCCGACTGATTTAAGATTGGTGACAAGGAGCTGCTTGGAGGCAGTGCTTCCTCTGCGGTGACATTGCCCCACAGATAAATGTTGCTTTCAGCTTCTTGCTAGTTTTTTTGAATGTTCAGGAGGAAGATGTAGATAACCCAGGAACTTGCAGATTTTCCAATTTATTGTAACTCTTAAGATACCAACCAGGGACATAAAAATACAAAAGAAACACAAAGGAAGAAAAAGATAGGCAAAACATAATATTCTCAAACACTTTTTCCTGTAATTTCTTTACTGCGTTGATCTTGTCTTGATCAGTGTTTAGAGAATGTGTGGAATGGGTGGGGTTTTAGTTTATATTTGTGTTGTAGCTGCATTAATTATAAAACAGTGTAATTAGTGCAAGGGAAAATTTGAAGGCTAGTAGTCTAGAAAGAGTTATTTTTGAAGTGGCACTTTCTGGCACTAAGATTATTTGATCTGGAAGTAGCAGTGGCAGAAGAGCTGATCTGAATTTTGTTTGTTTGTTTATATAAGGAGGACGTGGGCAGTTGTTTGACTCAATTTTGTTCAGTTGCTGCAGAAAGGCCTGCAAAAGCTTCAGATGTTATTACTGTCCTTCTCATTCCCAGCCTGTTTCCCAAACTTGCTGCCCCTCCCAGAGCTGGGATCCAAAACCTGACCGTGTAATTACTCTGGTGTCATTCTGTAATTGCTGCTCATGGTAATTGAAGCCTTTTTAGTTAAACCCCTCTGATTACTCTGAGAAGGACTGGAGTGCTCACGTGGTTAAATCTTGCCCATGTCTGGAGGAGACAGGGTGTAATTCCTGTCATTTGGGTTGGGGCTTTTGTTGCATTTTTTATTTTGGTTTTTTTTTAAAAGCTGATGCAACATGATTTGATGGACTATTAAGTTGGTGGCCTAAAGGCTCAACTGTATCTAATACTGAAACAGACTCTGAGGCTACTGGTATGTACTGGTGATGCAGAAGTTTAAATGCTGGTACAGGAGTCCCATGGTGGTCCAGTTTTTCCTGGCCAACTCTTTCCTGCTCTTCCATAAGGTATTCCTTATTTTGGGGGAGTAGGTGGAGGAAATTCCAGACAGTGTAAAGTGTAAACCAAAGACAGTTACCAGTATATGTTTTATCTCATTTTTTCTTTTTTTTATAGTGACTAGAGGTTTTGATGATGTAAAAAAAATAATTAAAAAAATATCATTTTAGCCTCCAAACTATATAGACAATATGCTTTTTAAAGTAGCTAGTTTGATTCAGTAGACACTCAGCGTTTACTGGCAGATGTTCTGCATTAGGGTTGAGTACTGTTCTTGATAAGAGACGAGAAAACAGTATATTTAGTAACTGATAAATATTTCCTGAGGGAGCCTGTCGTCAGCTGTGGCATTACCTCTTGCAGGAAACAAAATCCATGCCTTCCTGTGGTGGAAATGTGACACGTTTGGGAGTTGTCCCCAGAAACATTCTCCATCACTTAAACAGCCCGTGACACTGAATCATATGACGATCTCGCATCAGTCTGCAAACAAAATGTTATTCTTCCTTTTTCCCAAGTAAAAGCCAGTGACATCAAGATGTCAAAGCTTTCCTAATATTTTTTTTGTGTTTTATCTTGACATTGGTGCTGTCATTGTCATGAGGGCATTAAGCAACTGCATAAGTGAAAGCACAGGACCTTTATATAACCTACTTTTCCTCTCTCCTTCTCCCTCCCTCCCGGTGTGAGGATTTTACATAAAATTGATGTGCTTTTTATGTTTGAAGTGTTTTGGATCTTTTTTAGACAGTCTGTTCTTGAGTGGCAAGAACTCAGTATCTTCAGTAAGATATTTTAGGAAGCAGAGATCCTGTGTTATTTTGTGGAGATTGTCGTGTGTCAGTACTATGAAGCTGGGAAATGTTTCTAAATTTTGAATCTAAATTCTGAATAGCATTCGAGAGCACTTTGCTATTACGCTCCTGAAAGCTGAATAATACTGGAAATTTGGTTTATCTGCAGGCGTGATGCAGAATATCTGAAAAAAAATAGCGACTGCCCCAGCTTAGAGGACCTTGACACTGAGATGGTGCTGATGTTATTTTTAATTACAGCGCAGCTTACGATGCCATCCTGGAACGAAATGTTGCAATCAAGAAGTTGAGCCGACCGTTTCAGAACCAAACCCACGCCAAAAGGGCCTACAGAGAGCTCGTGCTCATGAAGTGCGTTAACCACAAAAATGTGAGTGTGACGCCTTCCTTTGAAGGCTTAACCAGAAGGTTATTCCTTGTAAAAGTCTTAAAAGTGCCTTTGGAGGGTGGCATCCTCTGTAGAGATTTTCATTGCATGGTAGTGTCTCTGTGGTAAATGCAGAAGGATCTTTCAGGAGAGCTATTATTGACTGGTTTTAATACCTGCCCAATCTTTAAATATCTCTTAACTCATTCAGGGAGTGAGTGTTACATTACTACACTTCAGGTTTTAATACCTGCCCAATCTTTAAATATCCCCTTAACTCATTCAGGGAGTTAGTGTTACATTACTACACTTTCCAGGCAGCTGGTAAATAAAAATACCATGAGTAATAATAGACAAATAGGAGAAAAAAAGGCCATAGCTCTCTCTTTTAGCTACTTGGGGAAATTATGTATTTTTTCTAAGACAGAGGTGGTTTATATGTGGATTTTCTGAAGGATGTTTTACCTAATAGCATCATTGTACAGTGATAAACTTTTCAGACCTCACTGACTCGTAGTGAACAGTAGCTGTTTCTGCACATCCCATCCATTCTTAGCAACTGGGAAACATCCTGAAGCAGCTCCAAGAATCAGTTTTTCTCTTTGGATGGAGTTACTGCTTTGCCTCTGTTAATGGCTAAGTAGTCATTGGCAGCTTTTAATTTTATTTTTCCTCAGATGAAGTAAAATTCCAACCAGTTCTCTTCACATTGAAAGTAGGAGGCAGGGAAAGCCTGACCAACTTCCTTAGGTTTTAAGCTTTGAGTATCATCTTTTTAATGCACACAGAGTGTCTTTAGATAATGTGATTTGTGGAGGAAAGATCTTCCTCCTAAAATCATTAGCATCTAAATTATTAGCATGTTGGGTCTGCTCAAGCCACTGAGCATCCTGAGCTTCAGTGTGTGCTGGGAGGTTCACATCCAAATACTGGGTATCCGTTGTGAAATGTTGTCTTTGCAGCTTTGCCATTGCTGTGGTGGAATTGGTGCAGTTAATCCATCCTCTCCCCCTTCCTACAGATAATTGGCCTCCTGAATGTGTTCACACCACAAAAATCCCTGGAAGAATTTCAAGACGTGTAAGTCTGATTTGAACTGAGAATTAATTTAAAAAATATTCACACAGAAAGATGAACAAGGGAAAGGATACAATAAAATAGCAGCATTATCTGATTATTATTGTGGGTTTTTTTTCTTCATAAGCTACATAGTGATGGAGCTCATGGATGCAAATCTCTGCCAAGTGATTCAGATGGAGCTAGACCACGAACGAATGTCCTATCTTCTTTATCAAATGCTGTGTGGTATCAAACATCTCCATTCAGCTGGAATTATACACAGGGTAAGTGAACTTTAACTGTGTATATTTGGCATTGCACCTGGTTTTGCCTTGAGTAATTAATTCAGAAATAGGAGCACAAAGGGTGATCCATAGCCCATCCCACTGGCAGACAGAGAAAGCTGTTAAGAAATCATCACACCTTTTTCCACTGTAATTGTGGAGTTACCCTTTGAATGACATGATAATAATCTGCACAGAGCAAATAAAAGATTTTTGCAGTGAGTTACATTACCTCCTCTACTTCTATATAATGTTTATTTTAATAGTCATGGCAGGAAGGAATATCTGAAAGCATCTCTGCCTTTATTGTTTTGGTGACCAAACCTGAAATCCCATCTTTTGAAAGAACTGCCTGTTTTATTTCTGCTCTTTTACTAGCAGAGTAATGAATAAATAGCTGCAGTCTCTAGATAAACAGCTGATGATAAACACCTCTAAGTGGAACTTTCATACCCCTGTGTGTCACAAAGCATTCGCTCAGCCTGTCCCCAGGCAAAGCTGGTTATTGCTTTTTAAACAGCGTGTGTGTGTTGCAATCCAGTCAAGAAATTCTGAATTTAAGGCTGCCTATTCAAGTTAAACATCTTATCATTTGTAGTCCTGTAAAGTGGCATCAAACTGCTGAGCCTGGAGAAGTCATGGATAAATGTAAATGTTCATATATTTATAGAAAAGAAGAAACTGCTCAGGTAGTTGTTGGGCAGGAGTAAAGGCAGCTTTGAGGATAGAATTCCTGCCTCTAAATACAGGTGAAATTTGAAATGCTTCATGTTGTGCAGTTATATGAAATACTGGGATAACCTATTCCTCAGAGACTATGGATACAATTGCTATGTAGATAGTAACATACACATGCATGAATGCTTTTGAAGGACATGGGCAGATAGATTTCCCTTGCATGTCTTCATGGCAGATTTTCGGCTGACAGCTGCTTCTCAGGCTTTGTTAGGAGATTTAAGTATATTCAGGCAAAATATTTGCATTATTTACCTGCTGTGTGCCTGATGCCTGGGTACTTCAAGGCATCAAAATCCTGTTTCTCTGTGGAACAAGTCAAACAAAACCTCAGGAGACAAGGAAGGTGTGCTGGAAAAGGGACATATTTCATATGGACCATGTGGCTGCAACAGCAACTCTTTATATCACTCTTCTGGGCTTCCAGCACCACCCTCATTAATGTCTAAAGCTCATTACTTTGTTCAAACTAGTTATTCCTTAAACTTAGTCCAGACCACTGTGGCTGCCCGTGGAGCTACCTGGCGATGAATCCAGTGTGTTTCTTCAGTGTCCTCTAAAGCCTTAAACTTTTTTTGGTGTTGGTGGTTCCACATGGATTTTAACCGTGATCTTCAGCTTCCAACACAGCTGTGATAATCTCAGCATCCCAGTGATGGTTTCCCAGCTTGCTGAGTGACTGAAATGACAAGGAGCTGTGGACACGTGCCTGTAGCACTGGGTGCTGCTGGCTGTAGGAGTGAGTGGGGTTTTTCATAGCAAACTAGAGGCACGGAACAAGCAGAGATCAAACACAAAGCATTTCAGGCAATTTCACCTGAAAGTTGTAGGGAGCATATTTAGCTGCCACATCAGTGGATATAGATTTGATGTTGGTAAAAATCTGACATCAGCTTTACCCCGGCTTTAGCAGATGTTGGCAAATGAACATTACTTTGTTCAAAACACTTTTCAGAGCTGGAGATCCCAGCAAGTGTAGAAGCACGTGTTGCTTTGTGTTTCACAGTGTGAGGAGGGTGAGTGATGGACGTGGCAGAGTTGTGCCTCACTGACTTGCTGAAGGACACAAAATGTCTCGTTAGTCTTGCATGGAGGCTCTGAAACACTGCATTCTGACTGATTTTTGAGCGCTTAACAAAGGTGCCTAATTATGGCAGCCCTTCACACAAATCTTTCTTTGGAAAGGGAAAAGCACATAGAAGCCATGAGTGACCCCCCCAGAGATGCCCCTCTCTCCCTGTCTGGGTAATGGGGGTTGGCCATGAATAATCTCTGATTTTTAGGCACTGACATGTTACATTTTTAAGATTAGGCAAGATATCTTCTGCTATAAGTTCTGGATATATTTATACAGCCTAACTAACTTGCCCTTTGAGGATCTTTTGAGTCTGTGTTGATTTAAAACATGAGAGGTATTGGTTCTGCCTGGCTTTGGATGCAGTGTAAGTCACCTCTCGCCTCCAATTTGGAAGGACAGTTGTGGATTCCAAATTACAACATGTTCCTGGGCTTCATGACAACTCCATCATGCTCAGAAATTAAGGATGGACAATGCTTTTGCTTTTTGTCCTCATTGTGATTTTCCTTTCGCAAAGGGAAGCTCTCTTTAACATTTTCAGTGTTAATCCTGCAGCTTTGGGGAGGATTAATATAGTTAATACCACGAGCATTCACCTAGGATTCTGCAATCAATATCTTCCAAATAATTAGAAGTGTGCAAAAATGAAGCTAATAATAAACAGGATTGTAGCAGAATCCAAAACATGCATATTAAATAGCTGGAATGCCTTATAATACTCAAATTCATTGGTGGCATTTGAGAATCTTTTAAGCCAAAGTTGTCTGCAGAGTCTTTGTGTGTGTGATTTGGAAGCGTGTGTGAATATGTAAGTATGCAAGACTTCTAATTACCCATTAAAATTCTATTGTTCTGGAACTCTTTTTTTTTTTTTGTGGTTTCCTCTCCCTTTAATGTGTCTTTCTCAGCTTTCTGAGGAGTTTTCCAAAAGCTGTAAAAAGTACAAATGGAAAGTACATATATCTTGCAGATAGCCACTTCTAAGTCTTTATGAAACAGAGAAAGATGGGGCTACTTATCAAACGCTGCCACGTCTTGGGTTTTTCTCTCATTAATCTCAGCAGAGAGTAGGCAGAAAGGGTCCAAGCCTTATCTCCGCCAGCCTGTGTGCTGTGAATGATTTTATGATGGCAAAATTTCTGGAACTCTTTTTTTTTTTTTGTGGTTTCCTCTCCCTTTAATGTGTCTTTCTCAGCTTTCTGAGGAGTTTTCCAAAAGCTGTAAAAAGTACAAATGGAAAGTACATATATCTTGCAGATAGCCACTTCTAAGTCTTTATGAAACAGAGAAAGATGGGGCTACTTATCAAACGCTGCCACGTCTTGGGTTTTTCTCTCATTAATCTCAGCAGAGAGTAGGCAGAAAGGGTCCAAGCCTTATCTCCGCCAGCCTGTGTGCTGTGAATGATTTTATGATGGCAAAAGTACTTTGTAATGTTTGCTCTGTGACATTTGGGTGTGTGGAGATCCTCCTGAAATAACGACCAACGATGCCTGGACACCGTCTGTACGTGTCGGTGTCATAAAGCCACTGCAAGTACTTTGTAATGTTTGCTCTGTGACATTCAGGGGTGTGTGGAGATCCTCCTGAAATAATGACCAACGATGCCTGGACACTGTCTGTACGTGTCGGTGTTGTAAAGCTGCTGTTGTCAGTGCAGTTTTAGGGTTCAAGTGACTTAAGTTTCTAACTAAGATGCTCTGAGGCTGTATCGGGACATTCTCCACTCCAATGTAATGATTGAGGTAATTTCTGGCAGTTTTTCAATGGTGGCCCTTTTGGGTTTGGTCGCTGAAATTAGTATAAAACCAAATCCTAAAATGGGGAACGAAATCTGTGTGAAAATAGGGATTTCCTTCCTGTTCAGAGAAACGTCTGCATTGGGTCAAAGGAGGTAATGCAGCCTCAACTGGCAAAGAAACCTTTTACTTTTTAGATTGGTTTTAGAATTTTAATAATTCTTGTATTGAGATGATTATTGCATCAAATGGTTTCAGCCATTGTCCTGTTACTTGTGTTCTGCATCGTAGTAATAACCGTTGTTCCAGTGAGCAGTTCCTAGCCCTTTCCTCAGAGCTAACCTTTCTCACTAACCCGGATTTATTTCGGACATTGCTAACGTACCTTGTAATGCTGGTTGTTGTATTTTCCTTCTTTAATTTGCTATATAAATCTACAAGCACAATAAGGGAATTAATTCCTGTGTCTGCCGAATGCACATGAATTAATGCAGGGGGAAAAGAAACTGGAGTTACAGCAATGACCTGGTTGTAAATGTGGGGTTTGATGTTGGCAGTATTATCTTTTAAAAATGTGAACCACGGAGTGCTTTGCCCTTGTCTTAGCGGTCATATATGATGTTTCTTTTTAAAGGATTTAAAGCCCAGTAATATAGTAGTAAAGTCAGACTGCACTTTGAAGATTCTTGACTTTGGACTGGCCAGAACTGCAGGAACTAGTTTTATGATGACGCCTTATGTAGTGACTCGTTACTACAGAGCACCAGAGGTCATCCTAGGGATGGGATACAAAGAAAACGGTCAGCAAATATAGTCTTTCTTTGGCATAGCTTTATTATTTTTTTTTTTGTTTGGCGCACCACATTTTACATGTTAATGTATTATTTTATTTTTTTTTTCAAGCTGTAGAAATTTTATAAATTAGCCTTGTGACCAAAATGCAGATTCTGGATACACCAATTTGTTTATTCAGCTCAACCCATTAGAAATGTTTGCATTTAATAGGAGAAGAAATTGAGGGCCTTGTTTGTTTAAAAAATTAAAAGGAAGGAATTCACACAACAGAAATCACAAGTTTTCTGACTCAGCTTGCTCAGTTTACATTTTTCTCTTAAATATTAAGTAATTTTGAGTTGCAAAAGTGTGAAACGTTCTTTGCACTGAAACATTTCTTAGGTTATTCTGGGAGTTGAATAGATTGTTTTCTAGATCACCCTGTCAGGCAAGTGACAGTCCTGTTCCCTGAGCCAGCGTGACTTGTGTTGTGCAGCAGAGTATAAATAAAAATTAACTTTTGTATGAAAAACTCTCACGTCTTCCCAAAGCCGGATACACGGTTGTTGTGTTGAGAATGGCACATTTAGAGAATGTAAAATAAATCAGTGTGCTGACTGAGTCAGAAGACAGCCTTGCATATGCATTTCCATATGTACTGTTGTCATTAAAAGGCTATTTACATCAACTGTTAATTCTTCTCCAGGGCTGCCTGGCGGGTCCCTCCCGGGGCAGGGATGGAGGATGCACTCACTGTAAGAACTCACCTCTTACACTCAGGCCTATTGGAGCCCTTTAAACCCACAGTTACATTAAAAATTAACTTATTTAGAGTTAAATAGTGGAAATTGGCAGCTGACTGGTGGTTAACATTAACATTTAGTTTAATTGAACGGGGTCATCTGCCATTCCAGTGCCTTGCTGAGCTTAGGTGGGAGGATCCCAATGTATGTTTTGATGTCCCAAGATACATATGGCAGAGTAGGATTCTTTTGGTGCTATGCTGAGCACGTAGGAAATCTTTAATTGTTTTTAAACTAGCAAATATCCCTGATTATAGGCTTAACTTCTACTTAGATTTGATACTAGAGGAGCTAAAGCACAGTTGGGTGTATTACATTAAGACACCAGGCCTTGCCAACTCAAGACATTTTTTCTCTTAGAATTATAGAAAAGAGTAAGTTAACTCCAAACAGGGTTTTTAAGAGTAAAATACACTCTGAGTGACAAGCAGTAGATTTTCTTAAAAGATTTTTCAAATCTGTAGTGAGGTTTTCCTCAGTCTTTCATAGAAGTAGTCACAGGAGCAGTCCTCAGTGGCCAAGTTAATCTGGCTTCATTAAAAAGAGACCTATAAATAGACAGGTTTTGTTTGATTAATGAAAATGGCAAACCCAAACAGCCCCAAACATCTCAAGTTTGGTTTTGTAGAGGGACCAGCAGAGTGGTTTCCAGTGGTTTTCTTGGCCTTGGACATAATTTACCGTGACTCGTGTTATTGCTCTGCCCAGGCTCCTCCATGCTGATACCGTCTTGGACACAAACTAATTAAAGCAGATTTGGGTCTATCTTGGGTTGTGATGGCAGAAGGTGAAAAAGTCAACATTCAGAACTTTACTTAAAATAAAGTCAAATGCTTTTGGCCCTTGGTTTCAAATCTTTGGGTCTCTAAGGCAACGAATACGCACTTAAGTATTTGAAAAGAGTTTTTAAAGAAAAAAAAACACTAACCATAAAATGTTGACAATTCTTTTTTTTTAAATGAACCAGGCCCTTAATTTTGACCTATTAATATGCACAACTATGGTCTCCTATCATATGATTTAGATACTATTTTAGAGGAACTTGTAAATAAGGTGGAAGCAATATTTTCAGTAAGAAGCAACCTCGTTTGCTTGACGTTGTTGAGCTCCTTCAGAAGTTTTACGTGTGATTTTTAGTATACACTTGTTCTCATTTAAATCCCCTTCTTATCTGCTTAATTGAAATTCCAGTGTCACGTTTGACATTCAAAGTATTCGTAATAATCCAATCTCATTATTATAACTTGGAAGAAACCTTTTGGGTATCTCTGAAAGCAACCACCAAAGCAATTGGCATACCTGTACAAAGTAAACTTGTGCAGCTTTGAGTGTGGCTTCTGAGTCATTTATTGAAGGTAATGCAGAAAACTGTATTTCATACCCAAAAAATTTGCTTTTGAGTTTTTCTTTTGTATAAGATGTTATTTCAGCATAACTGGAGAAATACTTTTTAAGCAAATAATTTTAACTGAAAAATCTTTTAGGAGCATACTAATATTGTCATTAACTGATCCTCTAAAATCCTAAGTGATCTTTTACTGATTGTGTTTGCTTTTTATTTAAAGGGAAAGAGAGATGCATGTTAATCTGACTTTTAGGAAATACTTGATGGCAAATTTTAATTCCTGTGTAATAGCCCATTAATTCTCCTCCTCAAAATATAAACTGTTTAGATGTGCGATATTTTCAAAGGCCGGTTTACTCTGCTACTTCTAAAACTATTCCTACAACTACAATGGAATTGCTTTCAAAAATAAAGTTATTCTTGGTGCTCCAGCCCAGTCTGCTGCTTCTCGGGGCTTGGAGGAGGGCTTTATTTGATTCGTGTCTCTCTCTCTCTCTGCTCCTGCTCTCGCTCTAGCACTATATTAAACAAAAGGATGTTTTTCTGCCTTGTATTTGAGACAGTTAAAAGCTAATCCTTATACACACGGTGTATTTTCAAGTGTTTGCATTGATTAATATAAAGACTCGCTCCTCTTCCTGTGCTGTCTCTGCAGTTTATAGGATGCGGTCATGTTATGCTTCTTTTAATTTTAAATGACTGTTTGCTTTGCTTTTCCTTCTTTTTGTGCTACAAACATAGTGGATTTATGGTCTGTGGGGTGCATTATGGGCGAAATGGTTTGCCACAAAATCCTCTTTCCAGGAAGGGACTGTATCCTTGTGCTGCTGCAGCAGGTCGAATGGCTCAGGAAGTGATTAACCTTTTTATTGATGTTGTGTCATGGAAATGCATATTGTACAATCTTTATTTTTTTATTTTTTTATTTTTTTTTTATTAAATGAAGATGGATTTTTTTCTCGTGATACGCTAAAAAAAAAAATTAATGAAGAACTTCATTTATATTCAGGCTGCACCTAGCAGTAGGACATAGTCTCTGCTGGTCTTGTAGGTAGCTCACCTTCACCTTCACCTTCACCCATCCCCATCACACACGCTTTTTATGGTCACTTCATGTGTGTCTGTGTGTGTACGTCTTGAGATATTTTCGTTTGCTTTTATTTTGGTAACTATCTTTTATGTTAATACCATTGCATTTTGTTTTCAGTTGACATTTGGTCAGTTGGGTGCATCATGGGCGAAATGATCAAAGGTGGTGTTTTATTTCCTGGTACAGATCGTATCCTTACCTTTGGCCTGGCGTGTAGTCGTAAAAGGTCCAAAGACACAGTTCCAGATTAAGGTGGTTCTAGTTTTTAAAATCCTGGTCTACGGTTGTACCATTTAAAGCAAAGCCTCAGCGCAGTGTCCGTGTGTCTGACTGTCGTTAGAGACTAACACTACGCAGCAAAATACCACTTGGGCAAATGGGCTTATTTTTCTTTTCCCTTTTTTCCTTTTTTTCCCTCTTTTTTTTTTTTTTTTTTTTTTTCCCCCTTTTTTTTTTTTTTTTTTTCCCTTTTTTTTTTTTTTCATT